CTGGTTTCTTTCTAACTAGATACTTATGGCAATAAAGCAAAGAAACAAAAAACAACTCTACTTTTCCAGAAACTATGGCAGGATTGTGGTAAGAATACTTTGTATTGATTTGTATTTAAATAAGTTTTGGGTTTTTTGCTTTATTCAGTGTTTCAAATTTTAACTGATAATGTTACTTTTCAAATTATATTTACTAATGGAAAAACTTGATCACAGCAGTTAATTTTCCTGAAAGACCTAGACCTGGCCCTCTAGGATCAACTGGAGAAGGAAGATTCATCAAAAAAGGTATTTTATTCCCCATGGAGTATTCCTTGTAATCAGAAAGACCAGTGCTTTGCACAGTGTATTGGAATTCCATTTTGGGGAATGAAAAATGCTTCTTGATATTTTCTACTTCTACAAATTTTTTCATGCTTTGAACATTGAATGAATTGGTCTCTACTTCTGAAGGTCCTATTGGAAACTTTGATGATATTTTTGGATTTATTGTTCGAGAAATTACATTTTGTTCATATGGTGGTAATTTTACTGATTAATGTGTGATGGAAGAATTGCTTTAGATCTAGCCAGTTGCCTGTCTTTCTAATAAAGTTTTACTGGAACACAGCCATGTTCATTTGATTACATATTGTCTATGGCAGCTTTTTTTGCCCTCCAGCAGCAGAGATAAATACTCATTCAACAGAGGCTATATGGCCTATAAATCCTAAAATATTTACTCTTTGGCCCTTTAAAAGAAAGTTGCCAACTTGTGATCACTCAGTCACAGTTAATTAGAAATCTGTTCTTCCCCTTAAATTATTAAATCAGTGCTTTGTCCTGGTTTAGTTGTACAGAAATCATATAATATGTAAATATAGAATCCTTTATTTTTTTTCAGACTGGGAACTTTGTAGTACCTTGGAGTTTTATCTTAACATAGCTTAGAAAGTGGATTTTTCAATCACCCCTAATGGGTGTTTCCTTCATCCCTCCATTTTCTCCCAAAAGTGGAGAATATTAAATGGTTTCGTCTGTTTAGACTCCTATGAGCCAAAATTCTGCTTTATCTTTCACTTTTCAAAAATATATAAATGGGGCATCCAAAGCTAGATTTTCCTATTTAACTGGAGTTAAAATATCTATGCCAAAATAAATTACCAAAATTAGTTTAGAGGTATTTGTAAAACAGTGTTCAGAATTCAATTTTGAACTCATTTAATAATTTTAGTGCTATTTAACGTTTTTATCTAAAATGGTGTATCAGTTTCCTTGAAAATTTTCTTTATTAGTGTGTTTATGCAATTTTAATTTACAAACAATGCACTTTATAATTGTGTTCACTTCTGTTTTATAAAAATACATTTCCCCCCACCCCCACAGAATCAGACTTATTTCCTCATGGTGCACTTTTGACAGAAATGACCAGACCTCCAGGAGTTTCAAGTCAAGCAGAATCCTACTATTCCTCATCTGTACCCATGTCAAGTGCCCATCATGCTTCAGCCATATCCTCAATGGTACCTCCGCCACCTTCAAGCTGGTCATCAGTGGCCCACCCCACCTCATGCTCAGTCAGTGCAAATCCACTGAGTAGTTATTCAGCAGGGGCACTTCCCTCTAATTCACAGGGTATTTCACCATTCCTGGAAATACCTGTTGGGAGTGATTTGAATGCTCCTAACACTTGCATTTATAACAATACTAATGACATAGGCAGAATGGAAGCATCATCCATGTCACCAACTGACTTATATGGTATTTCTGATGCCAGCATGCTGCCTAATTGCCCTGTGAATATAACACCAAGTAATGACAGCATGAGGGGAACTGATAATCC